GTGCTGTGTTAGTGTAGTGTGGTGCTGTTTTAGCGTGGTGTGCTGCTGTGTTAGTGTGGTGCTGTGTTAGTGTGTTGCTGTGTTCGTGTGGTGTGGTGATGTGTTAGTGTGGTGCTGTGTTAGTGTGGTGCTATGGTAGCATGGTGCAGTGCTGTGTTAATTGTGTGTTGCTGTGTTAGTGTGGTGTGGTGCTGTTTTAGTGTGGTGTGGTGCTGTGTCAGCGTTGTGCGGTGCTGTGTTAGGGTGGTGCTGTGCTGTGTTAGTGTGGTGTGGTGCTGTGTTAGTGTGGTGTGGTCCTGTTTTAGTGTGGTGTTGTGCGGTGCTGTGTTAGTGTGATGTGGTGCTATGTTAGTGTGGTGTGGTGCTGTGTTAGTGTGGTGTGGTCCTGTGTTAGTGTGGTGCGGTCCTGTGTTAGTGTGGTGCTGTGTTAGTGTGGTAGGGTGATGTGTTAGTGTAGTGTGGTGCTGTTTTAGCGCGGTGTGGTGCTGTGTTAGTGTGGTTCTGTGCTGTGCGGTGCTGTGTTAGTGTGGTGTGGTGCTATGTTAGTGTGGTGTGGTGCTGTGTTAGTGTGGTGCTGTGTTAGTGTGGTGTTGTGTTAGCGTGTTGCGGTGCTGTTTTAGTGGTGTGTTGCTGTGTTAGTGTGGTGTGGTGCTGTGTTAGTTTTGTGCTGTGTTAGTGTGGTGTGGTGATGTGTTAGTGTGGTGTGGTGCTGTGTTAGTGTGGTGCGGCACTGTGTTAGTGTGGTGCTGTGTTAGTGTGTTGCTGTGTTCGTGTGGTGTGGTGCTGTGTTAGTGTGGTGCTGTGTTAGTGTGGTGCTATGGTAGCATAGTGCTGTGTTAATTGTGTATTGCTGTGTTAGTGTGGTGCTGTTTTAGTGTGGTGTGGTGCTGTGTCAGCGATGTGCGGTGCTGTGTTAGGGTGGTGCTGTGCTGTGTTAGTGTGGTGTGGTGCTGTGTTAGTGTGGTGTGGTCCTGTGTTAGTGTGGTGTGGTGCTGTGCGGTGTTGTGTTAGTGTGGTGTGTTGCTATGTTAGTGTGGTGTGGTGCTGTGTTAGTGTGGTGTGGTGCTGTGTTATTGTGGTGTGGTGCTGTGTTAGTGTGGTGTGGTGCTGTGTTAGTGTGGTCTGGTCCTGTGTTAGTGTGGTGTGGTGCTGTGCTAGTGTGGTGTGGTGCTGTGTTAGTGTGGTGTGGTCCTGTCTTAGTGTGGTGTGGTGCTGTGTTAGTGTGGTGCTGTGTTAGTGTGGTATGGTGATGTGTTAGTGTGGTGCTGTGTTAGTGTGGTGCGGTGCTGTGTTAGTGTGCTGCTGTGTTAGTGTAGTGTGGTGCTGTTTAAGCGTGGTGTGGTGCTGTGTTAGTGTGGTGCTGTGATAGTGTGGTGCTGTTTTAGAGTGGTGTGGTGCTTTGTTAGTGTGGTGTGGTGCTGTGTTAGTGTGGTGTGGTGCTGTGTTAGTGTGATGTGGTGATGTGTTAGTGTGGTGTGATGCTGTGTTAGTGTGGAGCGGTGCTGTGTTAGTGTGGTGCTGTGTTAGTGTAGTGTGGTGCTGTTTTAGCGTGGTGTGCTGCTGTGTTAGTGTGGTGCTGTGTTAGTGTGTTGCTGTGTTAGTGTGGTGCTGTGTTAGTGTGGTGCTGTGGTAGCATGGTGCAGTGCTGTGTTAATTGTGTGTTGCTGTGTTAGTGTGGTGTGGTGCTGTGTTAGTGTGGTGTGGTGCTGTGTCAGCGTGGTGCGGTGCTGTGTTAGTGTATTGTGGTGCTGTGTTAGTGTGGTGTGGTGCTGTGTGGTGTTGTGTTAGTGTGGTTTGGTGCTATGTTAGTGTGGTGTGGTGCTGTGTTAGTGTGGTGTGGTGCTGAGTTAGTTTGGTGCGGTGCTGTGTTAGTGTGGTGTGATGCTGTGTTAGCGTGGTGCGGTGCTGTGTTAATGTAGTGTGGTGCTGTGCGGTGCTGTGTTAGTGTGGTGTGGTGCTGTCTTCGTGTGATGTGGTGCTGTGTTAGCGTGGTGCGGTGCTGTGTTAGTGTGGTGCGGTGCTGTGTTAGTGTGGTGCGGTGCTGTGTTCGTGTGGTGTGGTGCTATGTTAGCGTCGTGTGGTGCTGTGTTAGCAGGGTGTGGTGCTGTGTTAGTGTGGTGTGGTGCTATGTTAGTGTGGTGAGGTGCTGTGTTAGTGTGGTGCAGTGTTAGTGTGGTGCTGTGTTAGCGTGGTGCGGTGCTGTGTTAGTGGTGTGTTGCTGTGTTAGTGTAGTGTGGTGTTGTGTTAGTGTGGTGTGGTGCTGTGTAAGCGTGGTGCGGTGCTGTGTTAGTGTGGGGTGGTGCTGTGTTAGTGTGGTGTGGTGCTGTGTTAGCGTGGTGCCGTGCTGTGTTAGTGTGGTGTTGTGCGGTGCTGTGTTAGTGTGATGTGGTGCTATGTTAGTGTGGTGTGGTGCTGTTTTGTGTGGTGTGGTGCTGTGTTAGTGTGGTGTGGTCCTGCGTTAGTGTGGTGTGGTGCTGTGTTAGTGTGGTGCTGTGTTAGTGTGGTAGGGTGATGTGTTAGTGTAGTGTGGTGCTGTTTTAGCGCGGTGTGGTGCTATGTTAGTGTGGTGCTGTGTTAGTGTGGTGCTGTGTTAGCGTGGTGCGGTGCTGTTTTAGTGATGTGTTGCTGTGTTAGTGTGGTGTGGTGCTGTGTTAGTGTGGTGTGTTGCGGTGTAAGCGTGGTGCGGTGCTGTGTTAGTGTGGTGTGGTGCTGTGTTAGTGTGGTGTGGTGCTGTGTTAGCGTGGTGCGGTGCTGTGTTAGTGTGGTGCTGTGTTAGTGTGGTAGGGTGATGTGTTAGTGTAGTGTGGTGCTGTTTTAGCGTGTTGTGGTGCTGTGTTAGTGTGGTGCTGTGATAGTGTGGTGTGGTTCTGTTTTAGAGTGGTGTGGTTCTTTGTTAGTGTGGTGTGGTGCTGTGTTATTGTGTTGTGGTGCTGTGTTAGTGTGGTTTGGTGCTGTGTTAGTGTGGTGCGGTGCTGTGTTAGTGTGGTGCGGTGGTGTGTTCGTGTGGTGTGGTGCTATGTTAGCGTCGTGTGGTGCAGTGTTAATGTGGTGCGGTGCTGTGTTAGTGTGGTGTGGTGCTGTGTTAGCAGGGTGTGGTGCTGTGTTAGTGTGGTGTGGTGCTATGTTAGTGTGGTGAGGTGCTGTGTTAGTGTGGTGCTGTGTTAGTGTGGTGCTGTGTTAGCGTGGTGCGGTGCTGTGTTAGTGGTGTGTTGCTGTGTTAGTGTAGTGTGGTGTTGTGTTAGTGTGGTGTGGTGCTGTGTAAGCGTGGTGCGGTGCTGTGTTAGTGTGGGGTGGTGCTGTGTTAGTGTGGTGTGGTGCTGTGTTAGCGTGGTGCCGTGCGGTGTTAGTGTGGTGTTGTGCGGTGCTGTGTTAGTGTGATGTGGTGCTATGTTAGTGTGGTGTGGTGCTGTTTTAGTGTGGTGTGGTGCTGTGTTAGTGTGGTGTGGTCCTGCGTTAGTGTGGTGTGGTGCTGTGTTAGTGTGGTGCTGTGTTAGTGTGGTAGGGTGATGTGTTAGTGTAGTGTGGTGCTGTTTTAGCGCGGTGTGGTGCTATGTTAGTGTGGTGCTGTGTTAGTGTGGTGCTGTGTTAGCGTGGTGCGGTGCTGTTTTAGTGGTGTGTTGCTCTCTTAGTGTGGTGTGGTGCTGTGTTAGTGTGGTGTGTTGCGGTGTAAGCGTGGTGCGGTGCTGTGTTAGTGTGGTGTGGTGCTGTGTTAGTGTGGTGTGGTGCTGTGTTAGCGTGGTGCGGTGCTGTGTTAGTGTGGTGCTGTGTTAGTGTGGTAGGGTGATGTGTTAGTGTGGTGTGTTGCGGTGTAAGCGTGGTGCGGTGCTGTGTTAGTGTGGTGTGGTGCTGTGTTAGTGTGGTGTGTTGCGGTGTAAGCGTGGTGCGGTGCTGTGTTAGTGTGGTGTGGTGCTGTTTTAGCGTGTTGTGGTGCTGTGTTAGTGTGGTGCTGTGATAGTGTGGTGTGGTGCTGTTTTAGAGTGGTATGGTTCTTTGTTAGTGTGGTGTGGTGCTGTGTTATTGTGTTGTGGTGCTGTGTTAGTGTGGTTTGGTGCTGTGTTAGTGTGGTGCGGTGGTGTGTTAGTGTGGTGCTGTGTTAGTGTAGTGTGGTGCTGTTTTAGCGTGGTGTGCTGCTGTGTTAGTGTGGTGATGTGTTAGTGTGTTGCTCTGTTAGTGTGGCGTGGTGCTGTGTTAGTGTGGTGCTGTGGTAGCATGGTGTAGTGCTGTGTTAATTGTGTGTTGCTGTGTTAGTGTGGTGTGGTGCTGTGTTAGTGTGGTGTGGTGCTGTGTCAGCGTGGTGCGGTGCTGTGTTAGTGTGTTGTGGTGCTGTGTTAGTGTGGTGTGGTGCTGTGTTAGTGTGGTGCTGTGTTAGTGTGGTGTGATGCTGTGTTAGCGTGGTGCGGTGCTATGTTAGTGTGTTGTGGTGCTGTGTTAGTGTTGTGCTGTGTTCGTGTGATGTGGTGCTGTTTTAGTGTGGTGCTGTGTTAGCGTGGTGCGGTGCTGTGTTAGTGAGGTGTGTTGCTGTGTTAGTGTGGTGTGGTGCTGTGTTAGTGTGGTGCTGTGTTATTGTGGTGTGGTGCTGTGTTAGTGTGGTGAGGGGCTGTGTTAGCGTGGTGCGGTGCTGTGTTAGTGTGTTGTGGTGCTGTTTTAGCGTGGTGTGGTGCTGTGTTAGTGTGGTGTGGTGCTGTGTTAGCGTGGTGTGGTGCTGTGTTAGCGTGGTGTGGTGCTGTGTTAGTGTGGTGTGGTGCTGTGTTAGTGTGGTGTGGTGCTGTGTTAGTGTGGTGCTGTGTTAGCGTGGTGTGGTGTTGTGTTAGCATGGTTCGGTGCTGTGTTAGCGTGGTGCGGTGCTGTGTTAGCGTGGTGCGGTGGTGTTGTTCCATGGTGCGGTGGTGGTGGTGCGGTCCTGTGTTAGCGTTTTGCGATAATGTGTTAGCGTGGTGTGGTGCTGTGTCAGTGTGGTGCGGTGCTGTGTTAGCATGGTGCGGTGGTGGTTTGGCCAGGACCTGTGTCTTGCCGCCGGAGCTCTCCTGTATGAGTGAGCGGGAGAGCGACGTGCTCACCACGACCGTCTGGAAGAACGACCCGAAGATGTTGCTCAACCCGAACGCAAGCAACTCCTGTGGATCATGATCAACATTGTTATCAACATCGTTATAATCAACATCAACGCTATCAACATCAATATCACAATCGTCATCATTAAAATCAATATTAACAACATCATCAATATCATCACCATGCATCAGAGCCAAATATATAATGAACAAAAAACAAAGGCAAATATTTCCTGTGTAGCCTCCACATATGGTTGGGGCAAGCACATAAAAACGCTGGCACAGCGCACTTATGTGGGTGGCCAGCACCACGCCCGGCCGCCTTTGTCTCCCAAGTGCTGATGTTGCCACATTGCACCAGTTACTCATTTAAGGACCAGTTCAGATAATCGCTACTGATGTTGACCGTGGGCTGGTAATCTAACTGAAGTCTGATTCGTTGCACAATGCGCCAATCACTGCACCACCGCTCTCCACATTGTAATGACCAACCAAGACCATCATCAGTAGCAGTGCAGCTGGCAAGCCGGAGTGCTATCAAAGTTAAATCAGTAAATAGTTAAATGATGGAGGGGCGAGCGAGACAGACGCAGTCACAATGACCTGTGCCAGATGCAACGCATGGAAGACGGCTGTCTGGGAACCCCATTTAGTGATTTACACGGATCGAATAAATCTGATTACATCCCAGTCACATTGTTTCATCTGCCAGCTGGCTGCCCGGTTATCCAGTTATTGGGTAACCTGCTTATCTGGTTACCTCCTTAATGGGTCAACTTGTTAACCAGTTATTTGGTTCAAGGTTACCAGGTCACCTGGTTACCTGGTTATCCGGCTACCTGATTACCAGGTCACCTGGTAGCTGGGTATTCGGAAACCTGATTACCAGTTCATCTGGTTACACATTTGCCTGGTTAACAGGTCACTTGGTTACCTGGTTACCAAGTCATCTGGTTACCAAGATATCCGGTTACTACCTGGTTACAAGGTAACTTATTTATCTGGTAACCAGGCGACCTAGTTACGGGTACCCAGTTACCTGGTTGCTATCGATAGCGTATCCGTGCTTCTGTGCGAAGATCTTGCTGAGTGACAGGGGCACCACGAAGGCCACGATCGCTATGGCAAACGCATCCCCGATTATCTCGGGGAAGAGGCTCACGTCCGGTATAACCGGAGGAGCCAGCCTGGGACGACAAAAACAACCATTAAAACAACAACAATCACAGCGAGAACAATCACAACAATAATCACAACAACAATTAAAAAAACAATCATAATAAATACAATAACAATTACATCGTCAATAAACTTGTAATGCGCGCATATGTTACGAATGTCCGATCCAACAACAATTACAACATCAAAGTTCCTCGTACGTCAGACAGAACACGTGAGAGCCTGAACGGGTGATGGTCTATAGAGGTGATAATCTGTACAGGTGAGAGCCTGAATGGCTGAGAGTCTGAACAGGTAATATGCCTGGAGAGGTGATGACCTCCTGGAAGGTGGATGATGGGTGCCTGGATGCAGGGCCGGATTAAGGCGTGGGGGCTTTAGGGGCTGCAGCCCAGGGGCCTCCGCCAGCTGGAGGGCCTCCAGAGATCAATGGCGGAGCCAGGATTTTCAGGTAGGGGGGGGCAACCCCTCCAGCAATGAAAAATGACAGTAGTTAGTACAGTGAGGGAAAAAAAAGTATTTGATCCCCTGCTGATTTTGTACGTTTGCCCACTGACAAAAAAATGATCAGTCAATAATTTTAAATTTTAATGGTAGGTTTATTTGAACAGTGAGAAACAGAATAACAACAAAAAAAATCCAGAATAACGCATGTCAAAAATGTTATAAATTGATTTGTATTTTAATGAGGGAAATAAGTATTTGACCCCTCTGCAAAACATGACTTAGTACTTGGTGGCAAAACCCTTGTTGGCAATCACAGAGGTCAGACGTTTCTTGTAGTTGGCCACCAGGTTTGCACACATCTCCGGAGGGATTTTGTCCCACTCCTCTTTGCAGATCTTCTCCAAGTCATTAAGGTTTCGAGGCTGACGTTTGGCAACTCAAACCTTCAGCTCCCTCCACAGATTTGCTATGGGATTAAGGTCTGGAGACTGGCTAGGCCACTCCAGGACCTTAATGTGCTTCTTCTTGAGCCACTCCTTTGTTGCCTTGGCCGTGTGTTTTGGGTCAGTGACATGCTGGAATACCCATCCACGACCCATTTTTAATGCCCTGGTTGAGGGAAGGAGGTTCTCACCCAAGATTTGACGGTACATGGCCCCGTCCATCGTCCCTTTGATGCGGTGAAGTTGCCCTGTCCCCTTGACAGAAAAACATCCCCAAAGCATAATATTTCCACCTCCATGTTTGACGGTGGGATGGTGTTCTTGGGGTCATAGGCAGCATTCCTCCTCCTCCAAACACGGCGAGTTGAGTTGATGCCAAAGAGCTCTATTTTTGTCTCATCTGACCACAACACTTTCACCCAGTTGTCCTCTGAATCATTCAGATGTTCATTGGCAAACTTCAGATGGGCATGTATATGTGCTTTCTTGAGCAGGGGGACCTTGTGGGCGCTGCAGGATTTCAGTTCTTCACGGCGTAGTGTGTTACCAATTGTTTTCTTGGTGACTATGGTCCCAGCTGCCTTGAGATCATTGACAAGATCCTCCCGTGTAGTTCTGGGCTGATTCCTCACCGTTCTCATTATCATTGCAACTCCACGAGGTGAGATCTTGCATGGAGCCCCAGGCCGAGGGAGATTGACAGTTCTTTTGTGTTTCTTCCATTTGCGAATAATAGCACCAACTGTTGTCACCTTCTCAGCAAGCTGCTTGGCAATGGTCTTGTAGTCCATTCCAGCCTTGTGTAGGTCTACAATCTTGTCCCTGACACCCTTGGAGAGCTCTTTGGTCTTGGCCATGGTGGAGAGTTTGGAATCTGATTGATTGATTGCTTCTGTGGACAGGTGTCTTTTATACAGGTAACAAGCTGAGATTAGGAGCACTTCCTTTAAGAGTGTGCTCCTAATCTCAGCTCGTTACCTGTATAAAAGACACCTGGGAGACAGAAATCTTTCTGATTGAGAGGGGGTCAAATACTTATTTCCCTCATTAAAATGTAAATCAATTTTTTACATTTTTGACATGCGTTTTTCTGGATTTTGTTGTTGTTGTTGTTATTCTCTCTCACTACCATTAAAATTATAGACTGATAATTTCTTTGTCAGTGGGCAAACGTACTAAATCAACAGGGGATCAAATACTTTTTTCCCTCACTGTAAGTAAAGACTTGTTAGTAAGTAAAGACTTGTCCCTTGCTTTTTATTCGACGCGTCTGCGGCGATGGTGCAGCCATCGATCGAGGGTCGAATTCGAACCGCGTTGTGATCGGCATCGCGCTCGCTGAAGGTGAATGCCTTCAGGGAAGTCGTGGACTGTATACGCAACTGCGCACAATTCTGCGAGTCACTTATAACTGCTTTGCCGTTACTTATTGCCAATTATGGACTCAGACTATTGTCCTATCATCTCATAGAGTCCCTGGCACTTAATAATATGCTACACGGTGGCAGTGGGTGTCGCAAAATGCCGATTTATTACTAATGAATCCCAATTATCCGATCGAAATGAGGGATTTAGATCGGATCATTGAGGGGGGGGGGGGGGGGGACACGTGCCACCCCCCCCCCCACTGGCACTGCCAGTGCCAGAGAAGTGAAAAGTTATTTCATTGGTGAATGCTGAATTTGATTGTCGTTAGCCTTGTCAAAATAAATTATATTTTTCTTTAACTTTGTTTTCCTTTTGAAAATATTACTGGGGGCCTCACAGTACCTGTAGCCCAGTGGCCTCACAGTAGCTGTAGCCCAGGTGGCCTCACAGTACCTGTAGCCCAGGTGGCCTACACAATCTGAATCCGGCCCTGCCTGGATGCTGCTACTGCTGTTGCGCCTGTGCAGTGCCCGTTCTTGACGAACCATTGCTGCGGGTGCGGTCGTCTGGAAAATGAACGCAGCTCGGCTAAGGGCGGTCCCCGCTTTTTTGTTTGTTGAACGTCGTGACAATGCTCGTCGAGGTCGTGGAGGGTTACGACGTTTAATTTGCATTGGCATCAGCATGAGTACATGGCCTTGGTGGTGATGCAATGGATCCATTGCTGCCCTCGTACCGCGAGAGGGCGGCAGAGGGCCGCGGGAAGGCAGTGGGCAGCTGATCCCTGGTGGGGGGGCCGAGGGGGTTGGGGCGCGGGGGGCCACTGGGAATGCAAATGAGCCAGCGGCGTTCTGCATGGCAGTAATTGAATTGTAGAGGTCATCAGTTTAAAATGAAAAGTCAATGTCTGGCCCCTGCCTTGCCGCATGTAATCGTTGCATGGTACACAGAGTTCGCGGATCTGTGTGTGAGGGTGTGTGCGTAGTGTGTGAGCGTAGTGTGCGTAGTGTGTGAGCGTAGTGTGTGTGGTGCTCTGCCCTTTATTTAACCCGGAGATTAAGCAAACCCATTGAGCCACATTGAGACAATACTGACTCTCTGCACTGCGTGTCCACGTGTGTAGTGTGTGTCTAATGTGTGTAGACTGTGTGTGTGTTGTGTGTCGTGTGTGTGTGTATACTGTGTGTGTAGTTTGTGTGTAGTATGTGTGTAAGGGGCCGTCCATAAATAACGTCACACACCGGGGGGGGGGGGAGATCAGACATTTGTGACTATGTGTGACGAGGGGGGAGGGGGGGTTTGAGAAATGTGGCGTCACATCAAAATGCGCAACTTTAAATAAATTTTAATTAATTTTTATTATTAACTATTTGATTATTTAAATTTACTAAGGCCACCTTTGATTCATTCCATGAAGGAGCATTTTTCTTCTCCATGGGAGAATGGAGAAGCATACATTTTGTAAATGTTTTGAATGATTGTTATTAAACATTTTGATTATAATGATTCTACCAGGGATTTTCATTCTGTGGAATGAATATGTGATTGTTATAATTGTACTCTCTGTTCTACTACAAAGTTTCAAGTATTTTTTAAATAGTTATAATTACTTTTACTATTTAATAATTTTAAGAGAATTTCAACGTAATATTCTGCACATCTGCAGTTTTAGTTAGACGATGAATATTGTCAAGTGAATTTTATGCTAAATTTCAGCTTTCCAACGCCTTTTTAATAAATGATTTCTCCTACATCAGAGTGCAGCGCCACATTAAATACGCACTACAATGACAATAGATTAAAGTTATTTGAGGCATGTTTTATTTTCCAAATGGAAATATGGTTTGGGGGGGGGGGCAGAGCTTTGTGACGTCATATTTGAGGGGGTCTGACTTTTTGTGACGCCGTGTGACGAGGGGGGGGAGGGATAAAAAAATCGGCCAAAATCGCGTGACGTCATTTATGGACGGCCCCTAATGTGTGTGTGGTGTGTGTGTGGTGTGTGTGTGGTCTGTGTGTGGTCTGTGTATAATGTGTGTGTCGTCTGTGTATACCGCGTGTAGTGTGTGTAGCGTGTGTAGTGTGTGTGTAGTGTGTGTGTACTGTGTGTGTAGCACGTGTAGTGTGTGTGTAGTGTGTGTGTACTGTGTGTGTGTAGCACGTGTAGTGTGTGTGTAGTGTGTGTGTACTGTGTGTGTGTAGCACGTGTAGTGTAGCATTGTGTAGTGTGTTTGTACTGTGTGTGTGTAGCACGTGTAGTGTAGCATTGTGTAGTGTGTTTGTATCGTGTGTGTAGTGTGTGTGTAGTGTGTCGTGTGTGTAGTGTGTTTGTACCGTATGTGTAGTGTGCTTGTACCGTGTGTATAGTGTTGTGTGTAGTGTGTGTAGTGTGTGTGTAGTGTGTGTGTAGCGCGTGTAGTGTAGCGTGTGTAGTGTGTTTGTATCGTGTGTGTGTAGTGTGTGTGTAGCGTGTGTGTAGTGTGTGTGTAGTTTGTACAGTGTGTGTAGCGTGTGTAGTGCGTGTGTAGTGTGTGTGTAGCGTGTGTAGTGTGTTTGTACCGTGTGTGTAGTGTGTTTATACCGTGTGTGTAGTGTGTGTGTTGTGTGTGTGTGTGGTATGAGTGGTGTTGTGTGTGTAGTGTGTTTGTACCGTCTGTGTATGTGTAGTGTGTGTGTAGCGTGTGTGTTGTGTTGTGGCGTAGCGATCAGCGCGTACTAACATCAGTTGCGGCAGGGCATTGTGCTGACTTCAATACCCCCTCAAAGCACTTGCCCCAAAAGTTTGTTAGGGATAGAGGGGGGACCTTTGTCTTTGTCACGGTGATGCTGAGTGTATGAACGTGTCACTGTGCAGGTGAGTGTGTGAATGTGTCACTGTGCAGGTGAGTGTGTGAATGTGTCACTGTGCTGGTGAGTGTGTGAATGTGTCACTGTGCAGGTGAGTGTAGTAATGTATCACTGTGCAGGTGAGTGTGTGAATGTGTCACTGTACAGGTGAGTGTGTGAATGTGTCACTGTGCAGGTGAGTGTATGAACGTGTCACTGTGCAGGTGAGTGTGTGAATGTGTCACTGTGCAGGTGAGTGTGTGAATGTGTCACTGTGCAGGTGAGTGTATGAACGTGTCACTGTGCAGGTGAGTGTATGAACGTGTCACTGTGCAGGTGAGTGTGTGAACGTGTCACTGTGCTGGTGAGTGTATTGATGTGTCACTGTATAGGTGAGTGTGTGAATGTGTCACTGAAGGTGAGTGTAGTAATGTATCACTGTGCAGGTGAGTGTGTGAATGTATCACTGTGCAGGTGAGTATGTGAATGTATCACTGTGCAGGTAAGTGTGTGAATGTGTCACTGTGCAGGTGAGTGTGTGAATGTGTCACTGTGCAGGTGAGTTTGTGAATGTGTCACTGTGCAGGTAAGTGTGTGAATGTGTCACTGTGCAGGTGAGTGTGTGAATGTGTCACTGTGCAGGTGAGTGTGTGAATGTGTCACTGTGCAGGTGAGTGTGTGAATGTGTCACTGTGCTGGTGAGTGTGTGAATGTGTCACTGTGCAGGTGAGTGTAGTAATGTATCACTGTGCAGGTGAGTGTGTGAATGTGTCACTGTACAGGTGAGTGTGTGAATGTGTCACTGTGCAGGTGAGTGTATGAACGTGTCACTGTGCAGGTGAGTGTGTGAATGTGTCACTGTGCAGGTGAGTGTGTGAATGTGTCACTGTGCAGGTGAGTGTATGAACGTGTCACTGTGCAGGTGAGTGTATGAACGTGTCACTGTGCAGGTGAGTGTGTGAACGTGTCACTGTGCTGGTGAGTGTATTGATGTGTCACTGTATAGGTGAGTGTGTGAATGTGTCACTGAAGGTGAGTGTAGTAATGTATCACTGTGCAGGTGAGTGTGTGAATGTATCACTGTGCAGGTGAGTATGTGAATGTATCACTGTGCAGGTAAGTGTGTGAATGTGTCACTGTGCAGGTGAGTGTGTGAATGTGTCACTGTGCAGGTGAGTTTGTGAATGTGTCACTGTGCAGGTAAGTGTGTGAATGTGTCACTGTGCAGGTGAGTGTGTGAATGTGTCACTGTGCAGGTGAGTGTGTGAATGTGTCACTGTGCAGGTGAGTGTGTGGATGTGTCACTGAAGGTGAGTATAGTAATGTATAACTGTGCAGGTGAGTGTGTGAATGTGTCACTGTACATGTAAGTGTGTGAATGTGTCACTGTGCAGGTGAGTGTGTGAATGTGTCACTGTGCAGGTGAGTGTGTGAATGTGTCACTGTGCAGGTGAGTGTAGTAATGTGTCACTGTGCAGGTGAGTGTGTGAATGTGTCACTGTGCAGGTGAGTGTGTGAATGTGTCACTGTGCAGGTGAGTGTATGAATGTGTCACTGTGCAGGTGAGTTTGTGAATGTGTCACTGTGCAGGTAAGTGTGTGAATGTGTCACTGTGCAGGTGAGTGTGTGAATGTGTCACTGTGCAGGTGAGTGTGTGAATGTGTCACTGTGCAGGTGAGTGTAGTAATGTGTCACGGTGCAGGTGAGTGTGTGAATGTGTCACTGTGCAGGTGAGTGTGTGAATGTGTCACTGTGCAGGTGAGTTTGTGAATGTGTCACTGTGCAGGTGAGTGTGTGAATGTGTCACTGTGCAGGTGAGTGTGTGAATGTGTCACTGTGCAGGTGAGTGTGTGAATGTGTCACTGTGCAGGTGAGTGTGTGAATGTGTCACTGTGCAGGTGAGTGTGTGAATGTGTCACTGTGCAGGTGAGTGTGTGAATGTGTCACTGTGCAGGTGAGTGTAGTAATGTGCAGGCCTCATAAAATTTGAGACTTTTCCAAAAATAAGTCCGGATATCTCAAAATCAAGTCAGTGGCGGTCTCAAAACTAACGAGGTTGCGCGAGGATGGCGAGCAAGGGCAAGGGCAAGAAGTCGACGCCGTTGCAGAAGTCGCACGCCCTGGAATACGCGCTGGAGATCGTCTCGACGGAGGCCAATGGCGACGTGACCGTCCGGTGCAAGTTCTGCCTGCACGAGGGCCGCGACGTCGTGGAGGTCAGCATGGCGGGGCGCGAGCGCAAACAGCCCAGCGACATCCAGTACTTCAGGAAGCCGTTTGCCGCGTTCAAGCATCGCAGCCACCACGAGGGGCAGCACGCGTCCTCGTGGACGAAGCACAAGGACCTGTCGGTCGAGGAGAAGAAGCACTACTTCGACGGGCTCGTCAAGCTCACCAACACGCTGCACCACCACATGGACCTGGCTACCGACACACTGCAGTTCTTCATCAGTGCCGCCATTGTCGAAACGACGATTGTCGGCGACCTGTTCTTTCGCGATGACGAGCAGCTTGACGACATTGACGACGACCAGGGCGAGGAGAACACAGCCGACGCGGTCCGCAAGAAGCTTGCCAAGAAGCAGAAGGAGAAGGCTAATGCGATGAAGCTGTTCGTTCAGGAGGAAGACAAGGCCGTCTACACGGTGACGATCAAGGACGTGCTGCGGTTCGACTTCGCCATGGACTACTTCGGCATCGGCATCGGCCTGTCGTCCCGACAGACGGCAGCGGTCATCCAGAAGGCCAAGGACCGGACCAAGACGGCGAAGCTCACTGGCATCAACGACGCCATCGTCGTGCAGTACACGTGCATCCTGGTCGCCGTCGCGCTGTAGGAGATCGCGGTCATCCTCGATGACGAGAGCGTTTTGGCCATGTCGTTGGCTGGCGACGGGAGCACGCATCGCGGCCAATCGTTCTTCGACCCGCGCGTGCGAGTCTGCTATCGCGGCGAGCTGGTCAACTTGCATCTCGTCGCGATTCCGATGTTCAAACGTCATTCCGCGGTCAACATCTTCAACATGATTGCCAAGTTCATGGACGCGCTCTACGTCAAGTGGCGCGCCAAGCTGATCGGCATGTCGTCGGACGGTGAGAACACCATGACGGGCCGTCATGCAGGCGTCGTCACCCGCATCGTCGCGTGCGCGGAGAACAACGTGTTGCGCATCTGGTGCATGCCGCATCAGATGGACATTGTCGTGAAGGCGGCGGCCGAGGGCATTGACGACGGTATCTGGGTCAAGCAGGCCTACACGTACTCAGTCTACCTGCACGCGCAGGACAACCTGATGATCAAGATGAACGTCAAGTGCCCAAAGAAGACGTTGCGATGGGTGCATCTCGACCGCCTGCTGACGCTCTACAAGTCGTACCGTCGCCCGATCATGGAGTACACCAAGGACAAGCGCCCCGACATGCTGCTGGTCGGATCGCTCATCAGCATGTTTAGCATCGAGAACATACAGCCGCGCAACGACGATGACGACAGCAAGGACGATTACTACGTGCACTACGAGTCACTGCACATCCCGGTCGATGCGATCGTGGAGCACATTGAGAACTAGTGCTCGTTCCCGAGGGATTGCTACGAGCGCCTGGAAGCAGCTGACCAGAAGGATGTGCTCAAGCACGTCGCCATATACGCGATGACGCTCGTCATGGGCCTGCAGTCGATCAAGGCCGAACGGGACGGCGTCAATCAGGCCCTGGAGAAGGATGCGCCGTCTGTGCTGCCCGCGCAGCTGGTCAAGCTGCGCCATGGCACGTTCCTGAAGGAGGCGCTTGACCCCTACCGAAAGCATGTCTCTGAAGTCTGGACCGAGGAGAGCATCGAGGCGGAGCACCGCGAGCTGGTAATGCTGTACAACTCGGACACGATCCTGCGCAACGCCATCGACAAGCACATCGTCAAGACGACCTTCAGCGACGCCTGGGCCTGTGCCCCGAGTCGATTTGAGCGCCTGCGCTCGTTCTGCGGCGGCTTAGCGACCGTGTTTGCCATCACGTCGTCGGTCGAGTCGGACTTTTCCATCCTCAAATGGGAGCTGGACGACAACCACACTGCGCTGATGCACCTGTCGCTGGAGGGCATATTCCAGGCCAAGCAGCGTGTCCTGCTGCAGACACTTCTCGGCTGAAATACAACGACCTCCAAAAATAAACCGGGCGGCGTCTCAAAACTAAGCTAGTTTTGTTAAGTTTCAGATTTCTCAAAACTTGTGAGGCCTGGTAATGTGTCACTGTGCAGGTGAGTGTGTGAATGTGTCACTGTACAGGTGAGTGTGTGAATGTGTCACTGTGCAGGTGAGTGTGTGAATGTTTCACTGTGCAGGTGAGTGTGTGAATGTGTCGCTGTGCAGGTGAGTAGGTGAATGTGTCACTGTGCAGGTGAATGTGTGAGCATGTCACTGTGCAGGTGAGTGTGTGAATGTGTCGCTGTGCAGGTGAGTGTGTGAATGTGTCGCTGTGCAGGTGTGTGAATGTGTCATGGTGCAGATGAGTGTGTGAATGTGTTACTGTGCAGATGAGTGCTGTGGAGATCTATGCCATGTGAGTGTGAGTATATCTCTGTGTAGGTGTGCGACGGGTTGCGGTTGACGTGTTGCACTACGAATCCGGTGACCCGAGTTCCATACCCGCCTGTGGCACATATGTTATATTGTCCTGGGCCTCCCATAGGTCGACTCAGCCCTACATGAGTACTTCAATGAATACCTGGTGCGGTGTATAAATATCCGCAACTTGGGGGAGACAAAGGTGGCCGGGCGTGGCGTTGGCCACTCACCCCCGGCCTTAATTGCTACTCGCTAACAGAGGTTTCCTCCCAAAGAGTCTGTTAAAGGTAATATGCGGGAATGGTTGTCTTTGTGTGTCACCACAAACAGCAGCACGCACGCACCCCTTTGGGATGTCGCGCACCACATCCACCCCAAATCGCCCCTCCAAGTCGGCTCCGTATGACACTGCGGTCGCCACCACAGTCTGAGCACGCACACAGACGCAGCAGGGTCACGGGGAGCTAAGGGTCACCGGTCAGAGAATGCGTTCAGGGGTCAGACACTGGGGTCAGGGGCCATATGACGGGGTCGGGGCCATATAATGTGGTCAGATTAAGGGGTCATAGGATCAAGAACTGTGTACAGGGTCAGGCATCATATACAGGGTCAGAGGTGAGAGACAGGGCTCACGGTTAGAATCAAGGTCAGGGGTCAGGCATGCAGGGGTCAGAGACGAGGCCAGGGGGGGCACGAGCAGGGTCAGACACGGGATTAGGGGTCAGAGATAGGGCAGCAGGGTCCCTGAAAGGGCAGGGGTCGAAATGGGGGCAGGCGGTGTGGCACAGGAGGGAGGATGATGATTATTATTTTTTACTCCTCGCTATGCATTATGCATGCAGCCGTAGGCGGTGTGCATGGTGCGTGCGCTCGGCCCGCGGGGACCCTGTGCGCGCGCGGCGGTGCAGTTAATTGTGATTAATTTGCTCGCGCGATTCACGCTCGCGCCGGAGTCCTGACCACGAGCAGCTCGACCGGGATGGGCACGGGCAGTCGGCGCGCGAAGCGCTGGTTAATCTCCTTGGCGAGGACGGCGATGACGATGCAGATGATCGAGGTCACGACGTCGGCCACGTTGCTCTGAGGCAGTCGGGAGAACACCTCGATGATAGCCTAGGGAGATGCACAGGTGCATGGGCGGGCGCGTGGGCGTACAGCTGCATGGAAGCACGGACGAGTGGGATTAGAGGCGTGAACCGACGCTGCCGTGCCATGAATAATCTGACAAAGCCGTAACGTGTCCCGGATGATCACGTGCGGGTGATCACGTGCGGGGAGACACGGCTGTGTGGGTCGATATTTTGCGTCATCAAACACTGCACCCCATTGGTGGTGGAGCAGTTGTGCAGGGAGTCGAGAGGTTCCCATACCTGAGCAGTGTGCTTCTGATCAGTTCCAGTTTCACATGAGAAGTCTTACTCTGAATCAGTCGAGAGGCATTATCTTATCGGCTGCGCAATGCTGTGTGGATACTACCTGGTCTGTCGCTCCACACGAAGCTTCGGGTCTTCTCGGCCACAGTTATGCCTTTCCTTTTCTATTTTTGCAAAAATGTGGACCTTGCTCATGGAACATCTGCACCAATTAGAAACATTCAGGCTGGCCTGCCTATGATCCATCCATTCTCGAGCAGAACGGGCTCGAGAAGAGATGGCGTGATGTGGTACAGGAGGATGTGGAGCTGAGTGGACTTGCCGATGACTGGTATCAGCGGTGTCAAGATCGGCCTCTGTGGAGGAGGCTCGTGAAGGATGCTCGTAGGCAGTTGAAGGCAGTCGCCTTCCAACAACAACAGAGCAACACTCACAACAACGAGCAGAGCGCCGGGCGGCTAAAACACAGCAAGTTGGCACGGTAGGGAGGCACAGTTCATGCAGCTGCATCAGCTCATCTCAGTCGACCCATGACACCTGAGTCTGTCCCATGACCTCCTGCCAGTAAACCTTCGAAACTTCTCGTGGCTTTAAAGTCCACATTGTCTGGCACAACCCCCGTGGTGACGTCACTACCACTTCGTGGCGAATGACGATCATCGGAACCGGTCCTGGACCTCCCCTAGGTCGAGTCAGCCTTAAATGAGTACCTGGTGTGTGTAAACATCGTCACTGGGGAGACAAAGGTGGCCGGGCGTGGTGTTGGCCATCCACCCTCTCGTGCGCCATGCTGGCCTTCGCTGGTGCTCGCTAAGAGCACTTGCCCTAACAGTGTGTGTGAGCTGACTGGCAGATGCTCACGTAGATTGAGGCGAAGGGGCCGCTGTATGAGGGCACAGAGAGGCCGAAGAGGTACTTGAGCTGAGACACGAGGACGTGGAACGCGGCCGCCGTCATGAAGCCACTGACGAGCGGCGACGACAGGAAGATGGAGACGAAGCCGACACGCAGCGCGCCCAGACACAGCTGGGCATAGAGACACAGAGACAAAGATCCCTCGTGTGTAACCTTTAACGGACTTTTGGGGCAAGTGCGACGGCCACTATTCGTCACAAAGTGGCAGGGGCGCCCACCATGGTTTTTGTGCCAGGCTAACTGCACCTGGGGGCCACGTGACGCGTCGCAGGCTCGCAGACAGGAGGTGACGGGATAGACGAAGGCGTTATGGTTTGACTGGCTGACGTGACTGGCAGATGCTTACACACACAGACATGCATACACCTACACACACACGCATACACCTACACACACACATGCGTACACCTACACACACACACATGCGTACACCTACACACACACACACATGCGTACACCTACACACCCAGACACATGCATACACCTACACACACACACATGCGTACACCTACACACACACATGCATACACCTACACACACGTACACCTACACACACAGACACATGCATACACCTACACACACAGACACATGCATACACCTACACACACACATGCTTACACACACACACATGCATACACCTACACACACATGCATACACCTACACACACACACATGCATACACCTACACACACAGACACATGCATACACCTACACACACACAAATGCATACACCTACACACACATACACCTACACACACAGACACATGCATACACCTACACACACACATGCTTACACACACATGCTTACACACACATGCATACACCTACACACACACATGCATACACCTACACACACATGCATACACCTACACACACATGCATACACCTACACACACAGACACATGGATACACCTACACACACACATGCATACACCTACACACACACATGCATTCATTTAGGCAAAGCCATGTGTAACAATAGTAATACTCGATGGACTTGTCAACACCAACACGCTGCTCTGGCATCGGCGCACCCAACACATCTTGGGTGCTCGCTGGGCCCAAACGAGAACATCTGTTGGATGTTCTTGTTTGACGCACGCACACAGATCCATGTAGGAGAGCGGTAGTGTAGGGGTTAGTGCGCTGCGTTACGAACCCGGCGACCCGAGTTCGATTCCCGCTCAAGGCCAACAACACCAGTGAGTGACAATTGTCTGAAACGGTCCTGGGCCTCTCTGAGGTCGACTCAGCCTCAAATGAGTACCTGGTTCTGGTGTGTAAACACCGCCACTGGGGAGACAAAGACGGCCGGGCGTGGTGCTGGCCACCCATCCGCTCGTGTGACGTTCCGGCCTTCATAAGATGCTCATTAACAGCACTTGCCCCAACAGTATGTTAAGGCTATACGGGGAATCTTTGTCTTTGTAGCACACACCTACCACGTGTTATTGGCACGTGCACCCCATGCACCCACCACGCGTCCCCGTCTCACCTGTATGATCCCCACCAGGCAGGTGACGCTGGCAGCCACTGCCACTCGCCGCGCGTCCATGTCGCTCGGCGTGGCCACGGTGGCGTTTCCCAGGGTCCCGTTTCCCGTCTCCAAAGCAACTGCCCCCCCATCGTCGGGGACCAGGCGGACGGTCACGGTGCCAACCATGAGGCTGACCACGGGGAAGAGGCCTACAAGTGACAGCGAGGGGTCGAAGGTGGTAAGGACGCGTGGGTGAGTGAGGGTGGGAGTGGGAGGTGAGAAGAAGGTGGGTGAACGACTGAGTAGGCGAGCGAGTGGTTCGGTGAGCGACTGAGTGACCGAGTAGGTGAGCGACTGAGTGGTGAGCGGCGGCTGAATGACTGAGCGAGCGAGGAGGTGAGCGACTTCGCGGCTGAGTGAATTCGGGCGTCCACCCTCACCCACGGAGATGTGGCGGGACGTGCCGAGCAGGCAGTAGACGAGCGGGGGGTAGAAGGACGAGTAGAGGCCATTCACGGGGGGCACCAATGCCAGCAGGGCGTACGCGAGCCCTGGAGGTTGGGGGGGGGGGGCACGGGCAGAGAGGGGAGGGAGAGGGAGGGGAGGAGGAAGCTGCGGGATTGAAACAATCCTGAGGAATGCAGCAAGCGTCAGCTAGATGGGACATGGGGTGGAGCGTGCTTGATGGGACATGGGGTGGAGCATGTTTGATGGAACATGGAGTGGAGCGTGCTTGATGGAACATGGGGTGGAGAGTGCTTGATGGAACATGGAGTGGAGTGTGCTTGATGGAACATGGAGTGGAGTGTGCTTGATGGAACATGGGGTGGAGCATGTTTGATGGAACATGGAGTGGAGCGTGCTTGATGGAACATGGAGTGGAGCGTGTTTCATGGAACATGGAGTGGAGCGTGCTTGATGGAACATGGGATGGAGCGTGCTTGATGGAACATGGGGTGGAGCGTGCTTGATGGAACATGGAGTGGAGGGTGCTTCAAGGAACATGAGGTGGAGCGTGCTTGATGGAACATGGAGTGGAGCGAGCTTGATGGAACATGGAGTGGAGCGTGCTTGATGGAACATGGGGTGGAGGGTGCTTGATGGAACATGGTGTAGAGTGTGGTTGATGGAACATGGGATGGAGCGGGCTTGATGGAACATGGAGTGGAGCGTGCTTGATGGGACATGGGATGGAGCGTGGTTGATGGAACATGGAGTGGAGCGTGTTTGTTGGGACATGGGATGGAGTATGCTTGATGGAACATGGAGTGGAGCATGGTTGATGGAACATGGGGTGGAGCATGCTTGATGGGACATGGGATGGAGCATGGTTTATGGAACATGGAGTAGAGCGTGCTTGATGGGACATGGGATGGAGCGTGCTTGATGGGACATGGAGTGGAGCGTGCTTGATGGAACATGACGTGAAGCGTGCTTGATGGAACATGGGGTGGAGAGTGCTTGATGGAACATGGGGTGGAGCGTTTTTGATGGAACATGGAGTGGAGCGTGCTTGATGGAACATGGAGGAGAGCGTGCTTGATGGAACATGGGGTGGAGAGTGCTTGATGGAACATGGGGTGGAGCGTTTTTGATGGAACATGGAGTGGAGCGTTCTTGATGGAACATGGAGTGGAGCGTGCTTGAGGGAACATGAGGTGGAGCGTGCTTGATGGGACATGGAGTGGAGCGTGCTTGATGGAACATGGGGTGGAGCATGCTTGATGCAACATGGGGTGGAGCGTGCTTGATGGGACATGGGGTGGAGCGTGCGTGATGGGACATGGGGTGGAGCGTGGTTGATGGAACATGGAGTGGAGCGTGCTTGATGGGACGTGGGATGGAGCGTGCTTGATCGGACATGGGATGGAGCGTGGTTGATGGGACATGGAGTGGAGCGTGCTTAATGGAACATGAGGTGGAGGGTGCTTGATGGATCATGGGGTGGAGCGTGCTTTATGGAACATGGAGTAGAGCGTGCTTGATGGAACATGAGGTGGAGCGTGCTTGATTGAACATGGAGTGGAGCGTGCTTGATGGAACATGGAGTGGAGCGTGCTTGATGGAACATGGAGCGGAGCGTGCTTGATGGAACATGGAGTGGAGCGTGCTTGATGGAACATGGAGTGGAGCGTGCTTCATGGAACATGAGGTGGAGCGTGCTTGATGGGACATGGGGCGGAGCGTGTTTGATGGGACATGGAGTGGAGCGTGCTTGATGGAACATGGGGTGGAGAGTGCTTGATGGAACATGGGGTGGAGCGTTTTTGATGGAACATGGAGTGGATCGTGCTTGATGGAACATGGAGTGGAGCGTGCTTGACGGAACATGGGGAGGAGAGTGCTTTATGGAACATGGGGTGGAGCGTTTTTGATGGAACATGGAGTGGAGCGTGTTTGATGGGACATGAGGTGGAGGGTGCATGATGGAACATGGGGGGGAGAGTGCTTGATGGAACATGGGGTGGAGCGTTTTTGATGGAGCATGGAGTGGAGCGTGCTTGATGGAACATGGAGTGGAGCGTGCTTGACGGAGCATGGGGTGGAGAGTGCTTAATGGAACATGGGATGGAGCGTGCTTGAGGGAACATGAGGTGGGGCGTGCTTGATGGAACATAGAGTGGAGCGTGCTTGATGGAACATGGAGTGGAGCGTGCTTGATGGAACATGAGGTGGAGCGTGCTTGATTGAACATGGAGTGGAGCGTGCTTGATGGAACATGGAGTGGAGCGTGCTTGATGAAACATGGGGTGGAGCGTCCTTGATGCAACATGGGGTGGAGCGTGCTTGATGGGACATGGGGTGGAGCGTGCTTGATGGGACATGGGGTGGAGCGTGGTTGATGGAACATGGGGTGGAACGTGGTTGATGGAACATGGAGTGGAGCGTGCTTGATGGGACATGGGATGGAGCGTGCTTGATGGGACATGGGATGGAGCGTGCTTGATGGAACATGGAGTGGAGCGTGCTTGATGGGACATGGGGTGGAGAATATTTGATGGGACATGGAGTGGAGCGGGCTTGATGGGACATGAGATGGAGCGTGCTTGATGGAACATGGAGTGGAGCGTGCTTGATGGAACATGGAGTGGAGCGTGCTTGATGGAACATGGAGTGGAGCAGGCTTGATGGAACATGGAGTGGAGCGTGCTTGATGGAACATGGGGTGGAGCGTGGTTGATGCAAGATGGGGTGGAGCGTGCTTGATGGGACATGGGTGGAGCGTGCTTGATGGGACATGGGGTGGAGCGTGGTTGATGGAACTTGGAGTGGAGCGTGATTGATGGAACATGGAGTGGAGCGTGCTTGATGGATCATGGGATGGCACGTGCTTGATGGGACATGGGATGGATCGTGGTTGATGGAACATGGAGTGGAGCGTGCTTGATGGAACATGGGGTGGAGCGTGCTTGATGGAACATGGGGTGGAGTGTGCTTGATGGAACGTGGGATGGCGCGGGCTTGATGGAACATGGAGTGGAGCGTGAATGATGGAACATGGAGTGGAGCATGGCTGATGGAACATGGAGTGGAGCGCGTTTGATGGGACATGGGATGGAGCGTGCTTGATGGAACATGGAGTGGAGCGTGTTTGAAGGAACATGAGGTGGAGCGTGCTTGATGGAACATGGGGTGGAGAGTGCTTGATGGAACATGGGGTGGAGCGTGCTTGATGGAACATGGAGTGGAGCGTGCTTGATGGGACATGGGGTGGAGCGTGGTTGATGGAACATGGGATGGAGCGTGGTTGATGGAACATGGAGTGGAGCGTGCTTGATGAAACATGGGATGGAGCATGCTTGATGGAACATGAGGTGGAGTATGCTTGATCGAACATGGAGTGGAGCGTGCTTGATGGAACATGGGGTGGAGCGGGCTTGATCGAACATGGAGTGGAGCTTGGTTGATGGAACATGGAGTGGAGCGTGCTTGATGGAACATGAGGTGGAGCGTCCTTGATGGAACATGGAGTGGAGCGTGCTTGTTGAAACGTGGAGTAGAGCATGCTTGATGGAACATGGAGTGGAGCGTGCTTGATGGAACATGGGGTGGAGCGTGCTTGATGCAACATGGGGTGAAGCGTGCTTGATGGAACATGGGGTGGAGCGTGCTTGATGGGACGTGGGGTGGAGCGTGGTTGATGGAACATGGAATGGAGCGTGCTTGATGGAACATGGAGTGGAGCGTGCTTGATGGATCATGGGATGGAGCATGCTTGATGGAACATGGGGTGGAACATGGTTGATGGAACATGGAGTGGAGCGTGCTTGATGGAACATGAGGTGGAGCGTGCTTGATGGAACATGGGGTGGAGAGTGCTTGATGGAACATGGGGTGGAGCGTTTTTGATGGAACATGGAGTGGAGCGTGCTTGATGGAACATGGAGTGGAGCGTGCTTGATAGAACATGGGGTGGAGAGTGCTTGATGGAACATGGGATGGAGCGTTTTTGATGGAACATGGAGTGGAGCGTGCTTGATGGGACATGGAGTGGAGCGTGCTTGATGGAACATGGAGTGGACCGTGCATGAAGGAACATGAGGTGGAGCGTGGTTGATGGGACATGGAGTGGAGCGTGCTTAATGGAACATGAGGTGGAGGGTGCTTGATGGAACATGGGGTGGAGCGTGCTTTATGGAACATGGAGTAGAGCTTGCTTGATGGAACATGAGGTGGAGCGTGCTTGATTGAACATGGAGTGGAGCGTGCTTGATGGAACATGGAGTGGAGCGTGCTTGATGGAACATGGAGCGGAGCGTGCTTGATGGAACATGGAGTGGAGCGTGCTTGATGGAACATGGAGTGGAGCGTGCTTCATGGAACATGAGGTGGAGCGTGCTTGATGGGACATGGGGTGGCGCGTGTTTGATGGGACATGGAGTGGAGCGTGCTTGATGGAACATGGGGTGGAGAGTGCTTGATGGAACATGGGGTGGAGCGTTTTTGATGGAACATGGAGTGGATCGTGCTTGATGGAACATGGAGTGGAGCGTGCTTGACGGAACATGGGGAGGAGAGTGCTTTATGGAACATGGGGTGGAGCGTTTTTGATGGAATATGGAGTGGAGCGTGTTTGATGGGACATGAGGTGGAGGGTGCATGATGGAACATGGGGGGGAGAGTGCTTGATGGAACATGGGGTGGAGCGTTTTTGATGGAGCATGGAGTGGAGCGTGCTTGATGGAACATGGAGTGGAGCGTGCTTGACGGAGCATGGGGTGGAGAGTGCTTGATGGAACATGGGATGGAGCGTGCTTGAGGGAACATGAGGTGGAGCGTGCTTGATGGAACATGGAGTGGAGCGTGCTTGATGGAACATGGAGTGGAGCGTGCTTGATGGAACATGAGGTGGAGCGTGCTTGATTGAACATGGAGTGGAGCGTGCTTGATGGAACATGGAGTGGAGCGTGCTTGATGAAACATGGGGTGGAGCGTGCTTGATGCAACATGGGGTGGAGCGTGCTTGATGGGACATGGGGTGGAGCGTGCTTGATGGGACATGGGGTGGAGCGTGGTTGATGGAACATGGGGTGGAACGTGGTTGATGGAACATGGAGTGGAGCGTGCTTGATGGGACATGGGATGGAGCGTGCTTGATGGGACATGGGATGGAGCGTGCTTGATGGAACATGGAGTGGAGCGTGCTTGATGGGACATGGGGTGGAGAATGTTTGATGGGACATGGAGTGGAGCGTGCTTGATGCGACATGAGATGGAGCGTGCTTGATGGAACATGGAGTGGAGCGTGCTTGATGGAACATGGAGTGGAGCGTGCTTGATGGAACATGGAGTGGAGCAGGCTTGATGGAACATGGAGTGGAGCGTGCTTGATGGAACATGGGGTGGAGCGTGGTTGATGCAAGATGGGGTGGAGCGTGCTTGATGGGACATGGGTGGAGCATGCTTGATGGGACATGGGGTGGAGCGTGGTTGATGGAACTTGGAGTGGAGCGTGCTTGATGGAACATGGAGTGGAGCGTGCTTGATGGATCATGAGGTGGAGCGTGGTTGATGGGACATGGAGTGGAGCGTGCTTAATGGAACATGAGGTGGAGGGTGCTTGATGGAACATGGGGTGGAGCGTGCTTTATGGAACATGGAGTAGAGCGTGCTTGATGGAACATGAGGTGGAGCGTGCTTGATTGAACATGGAGTGGAGCGTGCTTAATGGAACATGGAGTGGAGCGTGCTTGATGGAACATGGAGCGGAGCGTGCTTGATGGAACATGGAGTGGAGCGTGCTTGATGGAACATGAAGTGGAGCGTGCTTCATGGAACATGAGGTGGAGCGTGCTTGATGGGACATGGGGTGGAGCGTGTTTGATGGGACATGGAGTGGAGCGTTCTTGATGGAACATGGGGTGGAGAGTGCTTGATGGGACATGGGGTGGAGCGTTTTTGATGGAACATGGAGTGGATCGTGCTTGATGGAACATGGAGTGGAGCGTGCTTGACGGAACATGGGGAGGAGAGTGCTTTATGGAACATGGGGTGGAGCGTTTTTGATGGAACATGGAGTGGAGCGTGTTTGATGGGACATGAGGTGGAGGGTGCATGATGGAACATGGGGGGGACAGTGCTTGATGGAACATGGGGTGGAGCGTTTTTGATGGAGCATGGAGTGGAGCGTGCTTGATGGAACATGGAGTGGAGCGTGCTTGACGGAGCATGGGGTGGAGAGTGCTTGATGGAACATGGGATGGAGCGTGCTTGATGGAACATGGAGTGGAGCGTGCTTGATGGAACATGGAGTGGAACGTGCTTGATGGAACATGGAGTGGAGCGTGCTTGATGAAACATGGGGTGGAGCGTGCTTGATGCAACATGGGGTGGAGCATGCTTGATGGGACATGGGGTGGAGCGTGCTTGATGGGACATGGGGTGGAGCGTGGTTGATGGAACATGGGGTGGAACGTGGTTGATGGAACATGGAGTGGAGCGTGCTTGATGGGACATGGGATGGAGCGTGCTTGATGGGACATGGGATGGAGCGTGCTTGATGGAACATGGAGTGGAGCGTGCTTGATGGGACATGGGGTGGAGAATGTTTGATGGGACATGGAGTGGAGCGTGCTTGATGGGACATGAGATGGAGCGTGCTTGATGGAACATGGAGTGGAGCGTGCTTGATGGAACATGGAGTGGAGCGTGCTTGATGGAACATGGAGTGGAGC